ATGGCTGAATGAAAACAGTAAGATTCAGTAGGAAGATAACTTTGTAGCTCCTACTGATTGATGTACTTTAGTTTTATTGTTTTCTTTCTTTTTTTAAGGTTTTTTTTATGTTTTAGAGAGGGGAAGGGAGAGAAACATCAATGTGTGGTTGCCTCCTGCATTTTCCCTGATGTACTTTAAAAATGGAATAATAATAATAATGATGATGATGAAAGCTAAATGTCACATAAAAAATAGGTAGGCAAGAGAAATAGAATATCCTTTTTAAACCAAGACTTTTGTTTCCTGTTCCATATTATAATCTGTTTATATCTGCAAAGGTATATCTTAATTTTTAGAACTGGCAACAATCTCCTAAAAATAGAATTTGGGTACAAATGAGAAACAAAACGTTTACTCTTTTAAAAAATCTTGTCAAGAAAAAAAGAACATCCTTAACAAACTACAGTAAATAGGTCAACTTTACTATTTAAGAACCAAGTTCTCAAATGAAAATGCAACCTTTATCTATGGATGAACAATAATTACCAAATTTGATGAGGCCCAGTGTTGGTAAAGAAAATTTTACATTCACTATCGGTGAGATCTTTAATTAAAGCAAACTTTTTAGAGGATAATTTTACAAAGTCTATGCAAAGTGAAATACTTATACCCTTTGCTTTAGCAATTTCATTTCATCCTGGCAAAAGATATATACATACACAAGCACTAATTACATCATTATAGATAGAGGAAGAAAAAAACTCCAAAAAATAAAATGTGCATTAATAAGAACTTTCTTAAAAATTTTGTCATATAATAGTATAGTGGAGTACAATGTAGTCACTACAAAATATGTTGATATGGACAGACACCCAAAATATACTACATGGAAAGAGCATGTTATAGGCAGTTATGGACACTACAGCCAAATTTGTCTTAAATATATTGTTAAACAAAGTAGCTATGAGACTAATATGGTGCTAAAGCCTTGGCAGCTTATGTAAGCAAACCAGAATCTAAGCCTCAGAGTTACAAAATCTGAACGCTAAGGACAACCAATCACAAACAAACAAGGCTTTAAGCTATAGTCAATCCAATAATTTTGTTTCTTTCCTCACTTTCTCTATGTAAGTCTGGCTGCTATTGGTAGAGTGCTTCTAACCATTTCTGGCTTGATGCTGCCCAGTTTTAATTGAGTTTTGCTCACATAAACTTAAAACTATGAATATACCTCAGTTTATCTCTTAACAATATGCATACACGCTTGTTTCCTCATTCCTAGGACATTCCTGGAATTAAATACAAGAAATTAAAGCCAGAAGTTATCACTAGAACAGGGAAGAGAGAAGATAACTTTAGTTTCCCACTGTGTAATTGTATATTATTTTACCATGAGTAGCAATGACTTTGTAAGAATATAGTTTAGATATAAAGAAATACATTTTGTAACAGATAAAACATTTTCCTTGTTCCTCACAGGAAACTGAAGGCCTCAAAAATTTTACTTTTAAGATATTAGTGACTCTAACTGTACCATAACCTGTGAGTACAGAGCAGACTGAGGATTGGGTACATCCCAAACAGCACCACCACTTTGTAGCTTCATAGTGGAAGCTCTAGAAAGAAGTCTGAGGCAATGGGAATAGAAGAAGTAGGGGAAAACTAAGAGTAGGTTGACCTACAGGCCAAACCAGTAGCAAGAAAAAGATTCTTGAGATGTTCTAAAATTGCAATGGCTGAAGAGTGAGAGAAAGAGACAGAACAGTCAGTCTGTTAATAGCTATGGATCAACTCTGCTCACATCCCTTTATATCTGATGGAATTTAGGATTAATTTCCAGGTGGCTATTCCCATGACTACCCCAAAGAGAAAATAGCCAGGCACCATAGAACCCCAAGAATCTCTGCTTCTTATATACACATAAATTTTCTAATCTGCTGCCCACAGCAAATCCACAGTAGCAGACATTTCTTCCTTGTGACCCTACTATGCCTATTCCAGAACTGGCCTTCTTCACCTTCTCCCACCTTCTTTGTCTATAGCTAACTGAACTTCTTTCAGAATGGTTTATACCCCCCTCCAATCTTGATGTAGTTACAAAAAAAAATGCTTGCAAATCTCAGGGGACATATTATTTTTTCAAGCCATGCTGCTGGTGGGACCGGACTCTATACCCCAAACTGTGTGTGTTTGTATGTTTGTTTTTGTTAAAAATGGCCTAACAAACCCATTCTTTTAAAAAATTTTCAGGCCATGGCTGGGTAGCTCAGTTGGTTGGAGTGTCATCCCCCTAATGCCAAGTTTGTGGGTTCAATCCCCAGTCAGGGTACATACAAGAATCAGCCAAGACTACATAAATAAGTGGAAAAACAAATTGATGTTTCTCTCTCAAATCAATAACCTTAAAATTGAAAAGGCTTTCAGCTCTAAAAGTTAAAATGCTTTGTTTAACACCAGGTAGGGCATTCAAGTACTAACACTGTAAGACAAGGGGATCCAACCTTTTGGTGTCTCTGGGCCACACTGGAAGAAGAAGAATTGTCTTGGGCCACACATTAAATACACAAACACTAATGAAATCAGATGAGCAAAAAAAAAGGTTTTAAGTAAATTTATGATTTTGTGTTGGGCCACATTCATAGCCATCCTGGGCCATAAAACCTTAGTAAGATTTTGCAGGGAGTTGAAGGCTAATTGTATCTGCATCAGATGTTGTTTTCAGTCCTGTGCAAATTAGAAGTCTCAATTGAATCAAAGAAATTAACAACTTATAGTTATTTTCCCTCATCTCTTTCCCCCTTTCCCCCCTCTTCACTCACTCCCTTTTCTCTTCCCTCCCTCTGTGATTGCAAACAGAGGAGAAAAGAGAAACACTGGGTTCTTAATTTAATTTATGGATTTTATCATGGGTTCTTTACATTCCAATTATTAACACTCCATGTCTTGTGCAGAATGATTGTGTTGAAACAATCCTGGCAGTTTTGCAAGCGAAATGGATAATGAATCACAGTATTCTAAGCTGGGTAACACTGGTAGGCCAGCTGCTGAGTTTTGAAATATGAATTCTGAACCCAAGGTTGAGAATGATTGTCAAGTTCAAAGGAAACTGCCATTTACCAGGTACAATTATTCAAAAAGATCTTTCCAAAAATGACCCTTTAGTGAGAGAGCCCTTTTCAGAGTTAGTCTAAGAAGTACATTTCAGCTAACATGTTGAGCTCTGAATTCACTACAGAGGAACTCATGGTAAAAAAAACAGAATATTAACAAAGAGAAAAGCATTCTGGTTCCCCATTTGTTTTGTGATGGAGTTTTAATTTATAAAGGTGACTGAGTAATGTCAAGGAGAGCCACATGAGAAACACCAGGTTTGGGACAGCAAGCAGAAGCAGGAGGAAGGGAAAAGCCTACACCAACAGTTCTTTTGGAGTATTTTGGGGAAAGGCAAGGCAAGGCAGGTTGAACACTTTAGAACTGGCTAATATGAATAATTTCAACTGACTCTGGGCCATGGGAGAAGAAAAAGTTTTATTCTACCCTCTTCAAGTTCCTGGCTGGGTATAAAAATTAAACTGATAAAGACAGATAAGAAGATAAAATCATACAAATTTATTTAATGTTTTATGAGACATGGGAGACTTCATAAGGAAATGGAGATGCAAATGAACAGTTAGACCTGTGTATTTTTATGCTAGGTTAGGTTTGCTGAAGAATGGGAAGCCATTCTTTAGTACTTTGTGTGAATCAACTGAATGAACCTGTGTTCTTAGAGCTCTTTAATTTTTACACTTCATGTATATATCACATGCTATGGACAGCTTCTGTTCACATGTCCATTACCTCCATCATTATACAGGTTCCTGAAGAGCCGTGATACTATATTATCCTCTTTGTGCATGAGATATAAGCATGATTCCCGGCAAAAATATTTGATCTGAATGGAAATACAACGTTGCTTTTGCAAACCTAATCAAATATAGAGTTATGTACATGTATTATATAAACTATTCCTGCCAATTCACTTTTACTGTTTAGTGGCCTCTTCTCATACTGGGTTCACGGCGAAGTCTGCATGGCAGGAGGATACTGTTTTGACATTCCGTCTCAAAACAGCAATATAGCACCTTTCCACATCCAATAAAAATATGTGCACCCCTTCTTCCACAGACACTTATTCTAAGATGGTTATTTCTAAGGCCAAATTATTCCCATGTATTATACTATTCAGCCCTCTTAAGAACCCTAAAAGCTAAATACTATTGCCATTTTGTTAGAATGAAAGCTGAGCCAGGTTAGCTGATTCTCTCAGGCTTGTAGAGTTAGAAATGTTGCAAACTTGGATTTGTTTTTATAACTGTCCAATTCCAAAATTTATGCTCTTTCCAATTTACCTCGTTGCCCCCATTTGTTCTAAATCCTGATTATCTGACAGCCATTAATGCATTTCAAGTAAACTAGTCCGTATAATATGTCCTTTGCAGATTATTATCAACTTGCCTCTTTTCATGGCTTTCTTTTTTTAGAGATTTTTTAATTTAATTTTAGGGAGAGAGTAAGGGAGGGAGAAAGAGAGGGAGAGAAACATCGATGTACAAGGAAAACATCAATCAGTTGCAAATATTTAGTGGGTGCCTACCAAGACCCAGATACTGTTCATCACACTGTGGATATAGCAGTGAGTAAAACAGACCAAATACTTGGCCTCACAATGTTTGCATTATAGAGGGGTGATAGGGAGTAAAATCACATTATATGTGCATGGGAAAAAAAATACAGCAGGTCAAGAGGTTTGAGAGTGTCTTTATTTTAAACTCATGGTTTGGTCATCACCTATTATAGTCACTCTAAAAGCCACACCCAATGTTCCATCCTTCTGAAGTTCCTTCTGTCTCATGTTTCCATACTACCTAGCTGTTATTCAATCTTCAAAGCCATAGACACATTATCTCCTTCATGACACCCTTGAAATTCTTCTCTGACACCTTCAAAGTCTTGTTTTCATGCTATAGAATTTGTTTTCACCCTATAGAATTTGTTTTCACAAAAACTATTGCTGCTACAATAATTAATATTAATACTAATAATAAAAATGATAAAAAGAGCACTATACTTGAATGCAATATGTCATCTTCTGAGTTTAGAATAATATTTAAACAAACATCTTCAGTAGCACATACATTAATAGAATGAGTTTCTGTTATATCAACTTTCTTTTCACAGTCGACATCAGTATAACAGCTGCAATGAAAATGTTCAGCAAAGTTTTGCAGGTCTTCATTTGAAGGCTCCCCTTTTATTTTGAATTGTCCATCTTCACTTGTTTCAATAGCAAAATTCACTGGGTTCAGGTGAAGATAGTCATCTGAATTCCAGTTTTTCCTTGTGCAAAGTCCTTGATCCTGACAGAACAGTTGGCGACATATTTTGGCTGCCAAGGTGACATTGATTAAGTAAGGATTCAGTGTAGTCTTCATATAATCATGCAGTTTTATGCAGGTGTCCTGTAAAATTATAAGATCAGCATATAAATACCAAGTTATTTCATATGTGAATTAATTCACTGCAATAGGGAATTGCTAAGGAAACACCAAAAAAACAGACCCAGCAAGGGTGAGAAAATATTTTATCTTTTTTACCTTAATAGGCAAAATTATTGTTTTTTGGGTAACATTTCTAAGTTTCACATGCTTTTTCATGCCACTGAAATAATTGACTGATTGAGGCTTAACATACCTTAGCCTTGGTCTTCCTCAGTAATTCATAAACTAATGGGGCTTGGGGGACAGAATGGGCTCTGGGGTCCATCTGCCCTGATTGGACTGGAGTCCCAGTTCCATTAATAATTAGTTGTGTGAACTTGGGAATCTCTCAAGCTTTCTAAGCCTTAGCTTCCTAAGTCTTAGCTCTCTATCTGGGTGACCTTGAGCAAATTAATTAACCTGGCTGTGCTTTAACTTCATCATCTGTAAAACAAGGACAATTTTAGCATCTACCTTATGTGTTGTTGTGAAAATAAAAATATACTAGTTATATAAAAGTGTTTATCCCAAGGCCCAGCATATCATTAGTTAGCCCTTAAGGAATTATAAATAAATGTAGTAAGTGTTACACATTTTTCTGATAAAGTTTAAAGGGCATTGGGAAAAAAGTGGTTTCTAAATTGCTAGCTCAGAACAACTAAACAGGTTCACCTGAGTATACTTTATATTAAATCGTATGTGTAGTTCAAGTTACAAGTAAATAACAACAGCTCTTTTCCAAATACATTTATTTGGCAGAGTAGGAGTGGTATCTAAAATGGTTCATCTTGAAACTAGTGCATTCTAAAACCAGGACACTGTCTTTTTGAAAACATAGAAGATAGTCACTTTGTTTAATGAACAACAAACAGTATCATTGAGTGAGCTGGCTGTGCTATTCCTTCAGCAGACCAAAGGAACTGGTGGTCGGTCAGTACGCAAGTCAAGGACTCTTGGCAACTTCCACTTGAATCTGTTATTACCATCCTTGGGATGATGGTATCAGTGGTATGAAGAAAAAGGGCCTTCCGAGGATATTCATACTCTAATCCCCTGGAGCCTGTGACCATGTTACTTTACATGGCAAAAGGGACTTGATGCCTGTGTTTAAGGGCATGGACCTTGAGATGGGGCAATTATCCTGAATTATTGGGATGAGCTCAATCTAATCATGAGTCCTTAAAAATGTAGAAACTTTTCCAGCTGCGATTAAAAAAAGACAGAAGGAGGAGGGAATATTCAAAGGTAAAAATGATTCAATCCAGTATTGTGGGCTTTGAAGGCAGAGGAGAGGACCAAGAGCTAAAAAACACAGTAAACTCCCTGGCTGGTGTGGTTCAGTGGATTGAGTGCCAGCCTGTGAACCAAAGGGTCCCTGGTTGGATTCCCAGTCTAGGGCATGTGCCTGGGTTGTAGGCCAGCTCTCCAGTAGTGGGAACATGAGGGGCAACCACACATTGATGTTTCTCTCCCTCTCTTTCTCCTACCCTTTCCTTTTCTAAAAATAAATTAATTAATTTTTAAAAATACAGTGACTTCAAGACGCTATATTTCCAGCTACAGCCAGCTAGAAAATAGAGATTTCATTGCTACAACCAAGAGGAAATTAATTCCCCCAACAACCCAAATGAGTAAGTGAAGATCCTCCCCTAGAAAGGAAAGTGACCCTGAAAACACCTTGATTTTAGCCTCTTGAGACCCAAGCTGGACTTCTGATCTGCAGATAAGAAGATCAATAAAGATAATAAATTTGAGATGTAATTTTTATGACAGCAATAGAAAACCCCTTCCTAACCCTCCAGTAGCTGTGCACAGTGTTTAAAATAAAATTCAGCTTCTCTCGACTTGTATGTAGACTGATGTGGTGTAACCCATCCTTCCACTTATACAACCACTGTGCTGCCTTAGACACACTAGTTGTTTCACAAGCATGACAGTTCATTTCAAACTGCACTTTCTGTTTCCTCTACTTGGAATGCTCTTTTTTCTAATTTTTAACGTGGTTCACTCCATCTTGTTCTTTAGATTGTAGCTTTAATTAAATGCCCTCCTCAGACACCTTTCTTGTCTACTTTCTAACATCTGTTTTCATTCTCTGCATAGTACATATCACACTCATTTTTTCTTGTGTGCATAGTTTCTATCCCTCCAACTTTGACAAAAGTTCCATGAATGCAGAGGCTTTGTCAATATTCTTCAACACTGTATCACCAGTGCCTAGAATATATGAGAATTTATACCAAGTTCAGATGGCATTACAGTTGTCCACAGAAACAAGAGCTAGGCAAATGGAAGAGTGAAAGCATGAAAATGGTTTGAGAGTCATCAGCCTATACAAGGTGCAGTCTTTGGAAAGATCTAAATCTGGCTTTTTAAAGGATAAGGCCTGGTTTATAGCACTTGTCAATACTTGTGTTGTAAATACTCCTACCATGACAAATTTTAACCTACCAACCTGAATGCAGAACTGAGAATCAAGTATCCCACCATTGCACATTATGGTTGTACGGTGTGGAGTAGCATATCATTACGTAATATTTTCACTTATAGATACAACAGATGTGAATAGCCCCAAGAAATGAAGTAATTGATATGTTGTAAGTATTTATTACTTTGTTTTTAATATAAGTTTTTATAATTTAATTTTTAATAATGGGTGTGTCAAATGATCAGTTCACTAAATTTATGAATATTTAACAACAAGATTTCATGAGCTGGGACCAGTAGAAATTGGCTTTATCACACCAATGGATCTAATAAAATAGAATGGAAAGAAATGGTTTGCTTACATTTGATAACAATAGTTTTAGGTTAATTCCAGTCATTAAAACTACATTTGCAATTACCAGTTTCTCAAGTTGCCAGTGAACCTCAGAAAACATGACAAATAATCCATGACTATTGATTACAAATGACATGGAAAAAGAGAGAAAGTAATAGAACTAGAATTCATAATAATCATACATTGGGAATGTAGCAGAAGTATATAAAACAGAGTCACAGGGGCAATTACAAGGCAATGTTATTAAATAGAAAATAGTTACATTAAAGTTGAAGGATTGTCCTTGTAAGAATAATGCTGAAGACAGTCTGAGTGTCTTGATAAAAGAATGTGAGTCTAAGATGAAAGTGAAAGTAAAAAAACCACACAAAACTGTTACAATTAAATAGTATGTTACATTATCCTAATAGGGGAATGCCTGATTCATTTCTCATCAGAGTAAGGATGGCGTCCTCAGTTTGTTTGTTTTTTTTAAAAAAGGAAATAGTGTAGAGAATGTATAAATGGTCCATTGTAACCTAACATAGAGCCATTGAGAAAGGTGTTTATAAATCTGGGAAAACAACTAATGAAAATTAGAAATATACAAAGGTGAATTATAATTTTTAAATAATTCTCTGATGTATGAAAGATTTTGCAAATGGAATATATGCACGATTCCCTGAACTTATATTTTATGTTATTCCTCTTTATTGATGATCAAACTAGAGACAATAGAATTCTACCATACAGGCAGAAGGGTTCAGATTACCTTGACAGTATTTCACAAATATGACTTCTGTTAAGTGCTTTTATAAGTGAAGTAAAAATATGGCTAGTCTTAGAGTATAGTCACTTCTTTCTGAGCCCTAAGATAAGACCCCTGGACCATGAATTTTATTAGACATTCTCCATGGCACCTACATCACTATTTCCACATCCATCAGAGAAGAAAAAGTTCAGTTCCAATTCTGTAGTATCCATGTGATAGCTGTCCTCTTGCTTTGAGATAAGATTATTAAAGAGGTGGGAAGTAAAGCACTGATATGGAGAATTAAACAAGGATGAAAATAAAGAAAGAGAGAAAATAATTAGGCCATGACAGTTAATGGCTTTTTGGACTAAAGAAAATGCATTAGGAGAAAATGAAAAGAAAAAAAAAAACCAAAACAGACATTTTTTTCCTCATAAGAGAAGTGTTACTTAAAATTTTACTTAAAATAGACACTACTAAATATAACCTGTGGGAAATAAAAGAAGTGTTCCTTTCATTTTCCCCTCCCTTAGGGAAGCTTTGAATAATTTACTAATATTTTTAAAAAGTAATTCCCAATTGCCCACATATACCTGTCCCATTTTCTTCCCTGCTCAGCCCTCACAAAACTACTCCTAAAGTCTTTCCCATCTCAGAGATAACTCTTTCAAGCCAAACGGCTAGGAGTCATTTTAACATTTTATCCACTTCCCTTATCTATCCTACTTGCCAAACGCTCAGCCAATCCTCTCAGTTCTACTGCTGGATTATATTTAAAATCCAAACACCTGACAGCATATATGGTCCAAACCACCAATAGCCTCTCCCTGTTCCCACTCTTCCCCCTCTAAAATCTACGTTCAACTCAGCTAAGTCATTCTTCTGTAATGTTTATCAGAAGCTTTCCCTCTTCTACTCAACTTCCAGTGGCTTTCCATCTCAGAGTAGAAGCCCATCATGATCTAAGAAGCCCTATAGCTGACCTTCTGCTTTCTCACTGACCACACCCTTTGCCACTCTCTTCCCTGCTCACAGAGCTCCAGTCACAGTGAACTCCATGGTCTTTCTTGAAAAGCATATTCCAGCAAAGCTATTGCACCTAAGACTGGCTCTCTTATTTTCGTCAGGTCTCTGATCCAACAGTACTTCAACAGAGAGGTCTTCTATGACTACCTCATCTTAAAAAACACTATTATCCTTTGTCCTGCCTGTACTGTTTCATTGCTCTTCATTGTAGTTGTATCTCAGTTACCTAACATATTATATCTGTATAGTTGTATTTCCACTTGTGAGAATATAGGTCCATGGTGAAAAGACTTTCCTCTGTTCACCGCTTCATTTCTAGCATCTAAAGAATTACCTAGAACTTAATAAACCAAGGGGTCAGGAACTTTTTCTGTAAAGGGAAAGACAGTAAATATTTGGGGGTTTTGAATGATACAGTCTCAGTTATTCCTTTGTAGTGCAAAAGCAGCCACAGACACCAACAAATGACCTTGACTATACTCCAATGAAATTTTACTGTTAGGCACTGATATTTACATTTTATATAATTTTAATGTATCATAAAATACTATTTTTTTATTTTCTAATTCCATTTAAAAATGTAAAAATCATTCTTAGCTCATGATCTGTACAGACAGAAGCAAGCAGTCCAGATTTGGCCCATGAACATTGCTTGTTGCTTCTTGCAATAAACTGTCATAGAATGACTAAATGGATAAATAAGTGCTTAATTAACAGTAATTGAATTAATTAAAGAAAGAATGAATGAATGCATATTGACTAGTTGGACCTTTTTTGAAAAGAGACACAGCCATGGTATAATAGAGAAAACACAAACACTGTGTCAGAAACTAAGATTGTAGTCCTATAAGACTTACTAGCCACATAGCCTAGAGAACTTCAATTAATCTCACCAAATTTGTTTTCTCACTGAAAAACAAGTACAATATTTTCTGCACCCCAAAATAACCTCAAAAATGAAAGATTGTTTGATTCAGCCAGTATTAACTGAGCACCTCCTACTATGTACCAAGTATAGTATGTATTATTCAATACCACAACAATCCCCAAACACATTAAAAGTAGAAATGTTCTCATCTATGTCTTATCAATTCAACTTACCACACTTTGGCTTAAATTGAAGCTTCCCCAAATTATAATTCCAGAGGCACCTAGAGAAATAGTTTCACCAATTGTACTCACAAGGTCCTCCTGGAAAATATGGCAGAAAAAAGTTAACAGATAGAAATAAAATGAAAGTGTTTTACATAGGTAGTAAAACCAAAGCTAAGAATGCTGTCCTGACAATAGTAATTGAAGAGTGAGGCAAGATAGTGAATGGAAGTCACACTGAACCTCCTCTCAAAACCAATCTGGAATTACAGCTAAATTGTGGAGAAATCACCCAGAACAAACAACTGAACAATAGCAAGAGAGAAGCCTTATCACCTCAGACAAAAGAATCAGCTATAGCACAACCTGACTGGTAAGGAATGCAGTGGAGACATGAGAGGACTGGCTGGGCACCCACAGGCAGCAGCCCCAGAGGGATATTTAAGCGATCAGTTCAATTCCCCTTTGAAGAGTGGAGTCTAAACCATAAGTGGGAATCCCCAGCCTACAGCACCACAGTCCAAAAAGTACACAGATAACAGCCAGCTGTGAAAAGTGGCAGAGTTGCTCTCTGCCAGATATGGATGGCTAGAGATGCAAAGATCCATTTAAAGGGCCAATGCATAAATTTTTATTTGTAGCCACTTTCCCTGGGCTCCAGCAAAGGGGAGTGCAGAGTGGGCTAGAGACCCCTGAGGAGAGACTGGGGACAGATGTCTTAGGGGGAGAGCAGAGAGTGTAGCCAGTGGGATCCTGGTGCTGATCCCTCCCCCATACGGCAGCAGCCATCTTGCTCAGGAACACCACTCCCCTAAGTGGCAGCAATGTGAAAGGACACAATAGACTCACCGCCAGGAGGAGCTCTGCCCTGCCTTGTGGTGCCTAAGCCTGACTGCTGAGTGTAGAGTGACTAGATTGACAACTGAAGGAGACAGCCACAGACAGTAGATTCCTGGAAATATAGGACAGCCTAAGGTCAGACGGGGTCAACATCTGACATCACCAAAGGCAGATGCAGAAAAAAAAAACAGCGGTAAACATGAGAGGTTATCAAGATGAAATCCACTGAGGTCTTCTCCATGCTTTGTGACATTTTCTTTACTAAATAGCTTTATAACGTTCATTTTGGACCCATCAAGTTTGTGCATATTAGGTCATTAGATTTTATACTAGTAATTTATTTCTCTCCTTTCTTATATTAGTCTTAAACTTTTTACAACCTTATTAATACTGGTTCATTTGTTATTGATAGTGGGATCACAGCGGGCAGTTATTTTTGCAGATGTGGGTTTGTTTCCTGGACTTTGTGGTTTTGTTCTGGCAGCATGTGCACAAAAACACCCAAGACATGGTGGGCAGAGTGACCTTCAGTCAACCAGATGGAAGGTAGGACCCACCAAAAAACAACCAAACAACAATCAAAACCCAACCATTTCCACAGAGCTTACATAAACGGCATGAAAGGCATCTGAGGAGCACCAAGTTCAGAAGATCAAGGAGAGCACCACTGAATCTCATAGGTCTCCTACCATAGAAGTTCACACCACAAAGTCAGGAAGTCAAACCAGGTCAATTTAAGAATCAGAGTAAAAAAAGAAGAGTCTCCAAAGTAATGGGAAAACAAAGAAACACCCTCCAATGAAGGGAAAGGAGGAATCCCCAGAAAGAGAACTAAAATGAAATAGAGGCAAGTAAACTATCAGATATTGAGTTCAAAACAATGGTTCTAAGGAAGCTCAATGAGCTCAGTGAGCTCAGAGGGAATTACAAAAGCCTACAGGAAAACTATGAGGAACTTACTGCAAACTATATCAGCATGGAAAAGGACCTAGAAATTATCAATAAGAGACAAGAAGAAATGAAGAATACGATTTCTGAATTGAAGAACAACAGTAGAAAGAATCAAAAGCAGGCTAGATGAAGCCAAGGATCGAATCAGTAAGCTGGAGGACAAGGTAGAAAAAAGCTCCCAGAAGGAGCAAGAAAATGAAAAAAGACTCAAAAAGAATGAAGAGACATTAAGGGAAATGCAATACAACCCAAAATGTAATAATACCTGTAAAATAGGAATACCAGAAGGAGAAGAAGAGGAACAAGGGATAGAAAACCTGTTTGAAAAAGTAATGATGGAAAACTTCCCTAACTTGAGGAGATAAAAAGTCACACAAGTCCAGGAAGCCCAGAGGGTCCCATTCAAGAAGAACCCAATGAAGCCCACTCCAAGACACATCATCATTAAAATGGCAAATACCATTAAAAAAAAGACAGAGAATCCTAAAGGAAGCAATGGAGAAACAGGTAGTAACATACAAGGGAGCCCCGATACAGCTAGCAGCTGACTTCTCAACAGAAACATTACAAGCCAGAAGGAAGTGGCAAGAAATATTCCAAGTCATTAAAAGCAAAGGCCTGTAACCGAGACTACTCTACCAAACAAGGGTCTCAATTAAAATATAGGGTGAAATAAGAAGTTTCCCAGACCAAAAAAGACTAAAAGAATACACCTCCACCAAACCAGTACTGGAAGCTATGCTAAAGGGACTGCTTTAAGAAGATGAAGAAAAAGAGTGAGAAAGAAGAACACAGGTACAAAGGGAAAAAATAAATAAGAACCTATCAATAATAACTTTAAATGTAAATGGACTAAATGTTCCAATCAAAAGACATAGGGTAGTTTAATGGGTAAGAAATATGACCCACACATATGCTGCCTACAAGAGACCCACCTCAGAACAAAGGACCTACACAGACTGAAAGTAAAGAGATGGAAAAAATATTCCAAGTAAATGGACAGGGAAAAAAAGCTGGGGTAGCAATAGTAATATCAGGCAAAATAGATTTCAAAACAAAGGCCATAAAAAGAGACCCAAAAAGACACTTTGTAATACTCAAAGGAAGAATCCATCAAGAAAATATAAACACTGTAAATGTATATGTAGCCAACATAGGAGCACCCAAATATATAAGGAAAATCTTGGAGAACTTCAAGAAAAATATCGACAGCAACACACTGATAGTAGGGGATTTTAACACCCCACTGTCAACAATAGATACACCTTCCAAACAAAATAGCAACAAGGATATTGTGGCACCGAATGACGCAGTAGATCAAATGGACTTAACTGACATATATAGAAGCTTTTATCCCAAAGAAGCAAAATACACATTCTTTTCAAATGCACATGGAACATTTTCAAAGATAGACCACATGATAGGACACAAAACAAGCCTCAACAAATTCAAGAAAATTGAAATCATAACAAGCATTTTCTTGGACCACAAGGGTTTGAAGCTAGAAGCCAACCCCAAGGAAAAAACTCAAAAGCATTCAAACTCATGGAGACTGAATACCATGCTGTTAAATAATGAATGGGTCAATAATGAGATCAAAGAAGAAATCAAAACGTTTCTGGAAAGAAATGAAAATGAACACACAACAGTCCAAAACCTATGGGACACAGTGAAGGCAGTCCTGAGAGGGAAGTTCATAGCAACACAGGACTACCTATAAAAGATAGGAACATTTCAAATAAACAACCTAACCCTACATCCTCAAGAACTGTAGAAACAATAAGCAAAGCCCAGAGCGAGTATATGGAAGGAAATAATCAAGATCAGAGCAGAACTGAATGATATAGAGACTAAAAGAACAATTCAAAGGTTTAATAAATCCAGGATCTGGTTCTTTTAAAAGATAAACAAAATCAACAAGCCTTTAAGCAGACTCATCAAGGAAAAAAGGGAGAGAATCCAAAAAAATAATATCAGAAATGAAAGAGGAGAAAGTACAACTGATATCACAGAAATACAAAGGTTTGTAAGAAATTACTATGAACAGTTATATGCCAAGAAATTTGAAAACCTGGGTGAAATGGACAAATTTCTAGAAAAATATACCCTTCCAACACTGAATGAAGAAGAAGCAGAAAGCCTGAACAGACTCAAAACAGGTGGTGGAATTGAAGTAGTAATCACACACTCCCAGCACACAAAAGCCCTGGAACAGATGGTTTCACAGGAGAATTTTACAAAACATCTAAGGAAGAGCTAACCCCTCTCCTTCTCAGACTATTACAAAAAATCCAGAAAGAGGGAAGAATACAAAACTCTTTTTATGAGGCCAGCATCATCCTAATCCCCAAACTGGATAAAGATGCAACAAAGAAAGAAAACTACAGGCCACTATCACTAATGAACATAGATGCTAAAATCCTCAATAAAATATTGGCAAACTGCATCCAGCAATACACTAAAAAGATCATCCATTGTGATCAAGTGGGATTCATCACAGGGATGCAAGGATGGTTCAATATTTCCAAATCAATAAACATAATGTATCACATAAACAAAAGGAAAAACAAAATTCACATGATAATATCAATAGATGTGGAAAAAGCAATTGATAAGGTACAGCACCTACTTATGATAAAAAAAAAAAACACTCAGCAAAATGGGAATAAAAGGGGCATACCTCAACATAATAAAGTCCATATATGAAAAACCTACAGCCAACATCATACGCAATGTGCAAAAACTAAAAACTTTCCCGCCAAGATCAGGAACAAGACAAGGTTGTCTGCTTTCACCACTTCTGTTCAACATAGTATTGGAAGCCCTAGCCACAGCCATCAGACAATTAAAAGAAATAAAAGGCATCCAAATTGCAAAGGAGGAAGTAAAATTATCATTGTTGCAGATGACATGATAACGTACATAGAAATCCTTATAGACTCCACCAAAAAACTACTCGACCTAATAGGTGAATTGGGCAAAACAGCAGGATACAAAGTCAATATTCAGGAATCAAAGACATTTTGTATGCCAACAATGAAATATCAGAAACATAAATTAAGAAAAAAAATCCCACTTGCTGTAGCAACAAGAAAAATAAAGTACCCAGGAATAAACCTAATCAAGGAGGTAAAAGACCTGTGCTCAAAAAAAACTGTATAACACTGAAGAAAGAAATTAAGGAAGACACAAATAAATGGAAGCATATACTATGTTCATAGATTGGAAGAATTAACATCATCAAAATGTCTATGATACTCATAGCAATTTATAGATTTAATGCAATCCCGATTAAAATACCAATGACATATTTCTCAGAAATAGAACAAACATTTCAAAAATTTATCGACCCCAAATAGCTGCAGCAATTTTGAGAAAGAAGAACAACTTAGGAGGGATCACAATACCTGACATCAAACTATATTACAAGGCCACTGTAATCAAAACAATCTGGTACTGGCATAAGAACAGGCACATAGATCAAGGAACAGAATAGAGAGCCCAGAAAAAAACCCATGTCTCTGTGGTCAATTAACATTCGACAAAGGGGACAGAAGCTTAAAATGGAGTAAACACAGCCTCTTCAACAAATGGTATTGGGAGATCTGGACAACAACATGTAAAAAAAAATGAAATTTGACCACCAACTTACACCATATACAAAAATACACTCAAGATGGAAAAAAAGACCAAAATGTAAGTTGTGACACCATAAAAGTCCCAGAGGAGAACATAGGCAGGAAACTCTCAGATATTTCATGAAGCAATATTTTCACCCATATGTCCCCTAGAGCAAGGGACGTAAAGGAAAAAATAAACAAGTGGGACCTCATCAAGATAAGAAGCTTCTGCATGGTTAAAGAAAACATCAGCAAAATGGAAAGGGAACCAATTGTATGGGAAAATATATTTGCCAATGATATATCAGACAGGGGTTTGATCTCCAAAATATGTAATGAACTCACACAACTCTACTCCAGGAAGACAAACAATCCAATTGAAAAATGGACAAAAGATCTGAATAGACACTTCTGCAAGGAGAACATACACAGGGCCCAGAAACATATGAAAAGATGCTCAGCATCTCTAGCCATCAGAGAAATGTAAAGTAAAACCACAATGAGATACCACTTCACACTGGTCAGAAAGGCCATCATAAACAGATCAACAAACAACAGGTGCTGGCTAGGTTGTGGAGAAAAGGGAACCCTAGTACACTTTTGGTGGGAATGCAGACTGGTGCAGCCACTGTGGAAAACAGTTTGGAATTTCCTCAAAATGTTAAAATGGAACTGCCTTTTGACCCAGCAATTGCACTGCTGGAATTATACCCTAAGAATCCAAAAACACCAATTCAGAAGAACCTGTGCACCCCAATGTTCATAGCAGCACCATTTACAATAATCAAGTGCTGGAAGCAACCTAAGTGCCTATGGATAAATGAGTGGGTCAAAAAACTATGGCACATTTACACAATGGAATACTACACAGCAGAAAGAAAGAAGGAACTCCTACCTTTCACAATAGTATGGATGGAACTGGAGAGCATTATGCTAAGTGAAATAAGCCAGAGGGCAAAAGGCAAATACCATATGATCTCACCTGTATGTGGAACCTAATCAACAAAACAAACAAGCAAGAAAAATATAACCAGCAATATTGAAAGAAAAAACAAGCCAACAATAACGAGAGTGGAGGCAGGAGGAAGTTAATAGGGAAAAGAGGGGGAAGGGTCAAGTCAAAGAACATGTATAAGGGCCCATGGACAAAGCCAACGTGGGGAAGGTTTGAGGGTGGGAGGTGGGAGTGGGTGGGGCAGAGGAAAATGGTTTTGGGAAAATGGAGACAAATGTATCTGAACAAAAAAAATTAGTAATTTAAATTTTACATAATTTTCATTTAGTATGAAATATTATTCACTTTTTTCTCCACAATTTATTTCATCTTTCACACCACCTCCATCCTACCATAACAAAAATACAGGTATTTATATAATTTTAACTACTTATATTGACAGGAGAGCAGACCCAAGAAAGAAAAAAAAATGAACTAAGCTAATAAATTACTTGTACTACCGAATTTTCTGTGTTTGCTGATATGATTACATTAAAATGAAACATATTCTTATTTTCCATTCATATAATAATGAAGAACTACCTGTGTACATATTCCTAGAGGATATCAAAAGCTAAACTTCACTCCCTTCAAAAATAATGGTAAACTGCAAAGCTGCTATTTTCCATAGCATTTGAAATCTTGCCATTGACATACGTTGTCAGTTTTGTGCAAATAAACTCTCATAAAAATTTTTTTAAATGATGCTAAATTCCCCCAAACACTATTTGTGGACACTATTTCATAGCCCTCATACCTTGGTTTGCTTACCTGAGTAAGGTATTGAGAAGATACATCAGTAAAAACTGGACGAGTATATATAAAAACTGGAAGTGGACTGTTAGCATTTGGTACTTTAGAAACCCGAATGGCTTCCTGAACACGATTACGGACAAAGAGTGCAGCTCGTGGAGAAGATTTTAGGATGGTATTCAAATAAATGGAAGGGAAAAGGGCAGTGCTTTCATTCCACAACCAGTTGAGCTCATTATTTCTTCTCTTTTCTAACTCATAGCAAGACCCATTATATTGAGGTTTAGTATAATAATGATTGTAACAATCAGGAAAAAGATAATAACCCCATAAGTGTTTTGGCCTAAGTGATTTTCCCAGTTTTAAAGTCTCTTGCATGAAATTCTTTCCTGCCATTTCATATTGTGCTTTGGCTAGATTAGCGGCCTCTGTGACAGAAAGGTGTGGATTTTGTTGCTGAACCAAGGCAGTAGACCGATCTCTGTAGACATCTTTAGGTTTCCAGTTTCTTGCCCAGACAGGCCTCCATTCTTCCCAGTCAATAATGGCCAAGCCCACGTCGTCTTTTGGCATGTAATAGGCAATGTCTGTTCTAGCTTTAGCCAAATGTGCTTGTAAGGAACCCAACTGGGGGATTCCTCCATGATGATCGTTGCCATACTTATCTATATGAGGATATAAGCCAAGTCTATCAATGTAAAATAATGTAATGGGTTGTCCTACGGCATCTCTTTGGGGGTTTCCTATTAAAGAGAAGAGGCTCAAATCAATCGACACATTAAACCTCTTAGAACAAAGGTCAGTTGGGGCATTCCAAGCCCACAGGAAAGGAATATCTGTGAGAAAAGGGGGTGCTCTGAAATCCTTAGTCAAGCAACAAGAAATCATAAGGAAGGTGAACACAACCTGGGATGCTCCACTGGACCCAACAAAGCTCCTAAAGAAGATATGCTTGAACTTTGGCACTCCCATTGCAGAGAGTAATTACTGTTAAAATCACTTATTTTTTCCTACACACTTTGGTTTATGCAACGTTTGATTCAAGATTTAAGCACAAAAGAGAGAATCGTGGAATGAAGCCACTTTGATGGATAAAGTGGTATAATGATACTACTTTTAAATATTATTGTTCCTGCTTCAGGTTTCAGGAAGGTTTTGCAAGTTGCTTTATCTATAACTGAAAAAGAAAGAAATAAAGAATTTATTGTTATATTTATGTATCATCAATTATAAGCTTTACCAAGCTCTCAACTTCGTTTAGGGAGTTTAGTTCAATTTTTGAAGGTAGAAATCCCCTGTGTTTGAATATATAAAAGTATTTCCTCTTATTTGTAATAAAATTCTATAATAGTTAACATTTGTCTCATTTTCCAAAATCATTACTGTGCCTGCAGAAAGGTGTATGTAGCCATTTTCCTTCTGCCTCCCCAATTGTGCAGGATGTTATACCAAGCAATACCTTAGCAAACACCTATTAAAAAAATAAATTCCAAGTTGAACCTCTCATTCTTGTTTATTTCTTGAAAGACCAACTCATAGTGGTCTGCCAAAAACTGAAAACAACCTCTCATAGAATTGTGAGATTTTTTTTTTCCCAAGGAAGGCAGGTACAGGAGAAAGCAAAATTTGCTTTTGAGGTAATAAATAAAGGTTTACTTAAAACTATTGCATCAACCAAAATCTCCCACTGAGGGATAAATTGAAGTGCTATTTGGAACAGTGCTTTGTCATATTTCAAAGATAATGCACTCTCATGTTTAAGGTTAATAAAACATTTTATGGCTTTTTTTCTTCCACTAAAAAGATTAGTTCTGACCTACCTTAATAAAAGCAACATATGAATTTTGGTCTTTTACGGTCTTTAAGTGAGATGTCTTGTCATTCTAGTTGCACAATATGAGGTGTTATGGCACATTTGGTGGTACAATAAAATGGTCTGAGTGAAGCGTAAGAAATTAAGCTAAATATTATTTAATATTTTCTATTTGTGGTAATTACCCATAATAACACACATTTCAATGTTCTGTGATTCTAGGAGGAAACTAAATCCTTTTATTATAATTAGATTAGCAGTATACTGCTAGGTGAAGTTACAATGAGAATTGTACCATTTTCCCCAAGAATATGTGTCCACATCATACAAATTATCCATTCATACCATTGCTGAAAAACTAATTACTCTGAAGAGAACACAATAGAATAAAATCACATCTTAAAAACCATTATAGCCTCATGCTTTGAAGATAATGGATTTTTCTTTTATGTTTAGAACTTGTAAATGAGCTAAAATTTTTTATAGTTTAAGCCCTTATAAATTTCCTTACACAGGACCTAGAAAATCTTCACCTGAAGTAATGTTAGGAGGGAAAACTAATTTCTTTCACCTACCAACTACCAATACCAATGCCTTCATGACAGTGGGTGGGAAAAGTAAATGGAATAAAGAAAGGACTAGATGTCCCTGGTATCTCAGGGATGGAGTAGTTTTAAGTTTATTAAAATTTTTAACATTCAAATTTATTTTCCACATCATCATTTTATATAAGAAAAACATGGGGCAGAATTAGCCTATTAGGAAGTTCTCCATCCACAGAAATCTACAAAACAAAAACAAACATTTCTACTCTTGAAAATCATGCATTTAAATTTTAAAATTTAAAAAGATATAAGGCTGTTGACATTTAAAGGATATTAAGATGAAATCATTCTAAATTTAGGGTGGGCTCTAACTCCAATGACTGCGATCCATATAAGAGGAGAGGACACGAAGACACAGGACACAGGGGAAAGGGGTGTGTGACTCTAGATGCAGAGATTGAAGCAATGCAGATACAAGCCAGGAATGTCAAGGACTGCCAGGAGCCACCGGAAGCCAGGAGGTGGCCAGGAAAGATTCTTTTCTGGAGTCTTGGGAGGAAACATGGCCCTGTCAACACCTTGATTTAGAATTTCTAAACTTTAGAACTATGAAAGGATAAATTTCTGGTGTTTTAAGCCACCAAGTTTATGGTGATTTGTCACAGCAGCCCTAGGAAACACATAATCACCACAGGTTAAAAAAAGACTGTAGTTTCTACAATTCTCTTTTCTCAAATCTGTTTTAATTTCAAGAGAAAGACTGGTATTTACATGTATCATAATGTAACTCTTTTACCCACTCTGACCTGAAAACATTAAACCAATGTCAGAGTTAGAACCAGAACCCATATATTCCAGGTTCATTATATGGAATAAAGCCCTCCTGAAGGGTTTAGAGTTTAAGGAGAAAAGGCTATTTCCCTTACCCCACGGGCCACCTGATACCTGTCAACATAACCTCTTCAAATATCACTGTTTCACACAAAGCAAGATAGTTGGTGTCTGTGTGAGCCAGTTCAAAAGTACAAGGCCAAGAAGATTCACTTAAACTTGAAAAGTAATGAAGTTTTGAGTCCCAAGGGTAAGAGTTCGAGAGGAATTTCACTTCTATAGGCAAAGAGACCAGTTGAGAAATTGATAAATAAGTATTAATATACAAGTGAGAGGGGAAAAGGAAAAGAGAGGAGGCAGAGAAAAACATTCTCAGATCTAAAATACGAAGGCAAGATTCAGAAATCACAGATCATAGGTTTGTGACTGAAATCAAAGGATTAAATGAATTCTGTTTGACTGTTAGCAAAACCTTTGGGGTTCTCAACATTCACTTCTGAAACCCAGTTAGAGGAACTAGCATAAGCCCAGAGTTTCAAGAGTAACGAATAGTATATTTGGATGGGTTGTGATCTTCATTGCCCTAAGCACTTCTCAATCCATTTGGGGTCTTAGTGCCTAAAAGATAATTAAACCAGCCAGTCATTCATCCAACCTACCCTGAACCCCTATAGTATATCAAGCACCGTGGCAGCATGGATGGTTTTCAGAAAATAAAAAATAAAGACATCATACATTTGCTGACAGATTTGAGAAATGCAGAAATTAATAGCCAGATGTGAAAGGCATAAGAACAGTGTTTTAGGATATGCTCAAAGACACCTGGATAGACAAGACGTGGTTCCAGGCAGAGATTGATACTAAAATTGGACAAACCCAGGTAGGAATGGAGGCTGGAGATGGAGGCAGAGATTAGACAGAGAGGCATAGTATTTGCGGTAGTATATTCAACAGTCCAGTATGGGAGAAGTTGGAAGAGATGAAAAAGGAAAGATTACGTTGATAGTGAGGAGGCTCAGATGCCATACCAAAGAATTCTGATTGCAGCCTTTAGGCAGGTAACAAAATAGGTAAAAGAGGCATGATGTGTGAACTATAGCCAATGCCATATCTTGTCCTAAAAGGATCAGCTATTTGGCCCGAGTTATTTGGAATGATGCCAAATGTTCCAATTTTTGATGTCTTTTCTTAATGTGTAAATATCAATTTCAAATATGGAAAATTTTCTACACATGTAAATGTTGGGACTGTTCAGATATTGGGGGGCAGGGGTGGGTAGAAGGGATGTCAGCTAACAGAACTGGGAGCTGAGCCTCAAGGATCCCTGGTCCCAAAGCGCATTTGGTAAGGTAGTGACATGATCAGATGTGTTTCAGAATGATCATTATAATTATCACTCTTTACAAGATACAATTGGAGAGGAACAGATTGTAGTGTAAATAAGTAGGAGAGCAGAAGAGCGACAGAGATGGGAAGAGGACAAGATTTGACAGCCATTGGTTGCCAAATGCATTTGAAGAGTATAGAAGGTGATAGTTTATGTCTCCTTGGTTTCTGACTTGAACAGGTAGATGGAACCAGACCAAATCAAAAAGACGATAACTCAATCTCTTTCTTTATACCCATAATCCTTCATCTGTAAGAAAAATAGTAAAAAAGTTGATAAAGATAACAGAAGTGAAATTTTTTAGAAAAATTAAAATATAGATGCCTGAGGTAAATATATTTTTAAAAACTTTGTAAAAACATCATTATATGTGCTCTTAAATTTACTTCAAAATAATTGGGGGAGGGGGGCTAGGTGTGAAGGGGAGATTTGCATTTAGATGAAAAAGATGGGCTGTGAATTAATAATTAATTGTAAAATTGGATGGTGAGTACATGTAGGTCATTTTGTTCAATTCCTTTTCATGTTAGAATTTATGTAAATCAGAACATGTCACCCTACAATATGCCACTTTGGTGTATTGATTATTTTGAGCTGAAGACCCTTGAGAAACAGCATGATGCAGGAAGGAGTCTCTCATATTTTTATTTAAAAATAGGACATAAAATTTTCTGTAAGAAGATGTCCTTCCTGTACCAGGAAGAGAGCATTCTTATCACTGGAGATGGGGAAATGATACAGAGATCAAATAACCCTTTTCTTTTATGAGATTCCCCCATATATTCCCTCATCATTTTCCCACAATTTGCCACCCCTCGCTCAAGCCCCTGTTCCCTTTGTCTGGCTGCACCTCCACAGTTTATGATTCTTTGTTGAAATAGTATATAAGCTCTTAGGCCTATCCTCTGTTTGTTTGTTCATTTCTTTTCTAGAAATATTCTCATACCATGTAAAACTATTAACACCACATAAAAATGTTTATGCTTTTCTGCTGTTAATCTGCCTTTGGTCAGTTTAATACTCAAGCCCAGTCACAGAATCAGAAATGGTCAAGAAAAAGTCTCGCCTCCCCTATAGCATTTTATATGGTAACGTTTGTTTTTCATGTCCCACTCAATGTGAGAAAATTTTCTTCTCTCAACAACTACTATTTTGATGATGTGGCTTAAACAAAATTTCTCTAAACAAGAAATCCTTCTATATCACATGTGTTCACATATCCCCAACATTTAGCAATCAAAGATGTTGTTATTTTAGTATATATCTATGGAACTCAGATTTCTAACTCAAAAGTCTACACCTTCAACTGAGAACCAATGGTCTCTAAATATTTTTCAAGATGCCCAATAATGCATATTCATCATAAATATATACAAGTATCTGAATCAAAAAGTAT